GGAACAGTGATAAAATTAGAAATTGTTGCTTTAAGAAATGGGGAGGAATAGTGACCAGGAACAGGTGGAAGTATCATTAGGTATCTTTTTGAGGGCCCAATTGAGGTTGGAGATAATTAATGGACACGAAGGGCCTTCTCCAGGAGCAGCTGACTGTTGCTTGGTCCCGGGTCGATAAGCTATACGAGCTTGAGGAGGAGAACGTGCAGCTGAAATCAAAGCTGCGCCGCCTACATTTGGTAGGACAGGCTGTCATCGCCACGTGTAACACAGATGGGGGCGGTTTTAGGTTCATGTTGTGCTCTTCTCTGATGTTCAGCTACTAGGTTGGTGCTGCCGCCGGCACAATGACCCGCTGATGGCAGAGAGTCGCTTGCTAACTTCAGTGGCTTGAGTGGGCACCACTGAAGGCTCCCAACACAGAGAGGGCCTGATGCTGTGTTGCTTTCCTATGAGATTGGATGGATGTGGGCCTCTTTGCAAAAAGGGTCTCCTCTGGCGTTTATGATGTGGGTTGAGCTGTGATGTGTGAGTCCCTACAGCCTTTCCAAGGTGTTAGGCCTGTTAAGGGGCCACAGAGCTGCCGTCATTATAGCATTTGCTCTAAAGCCCTGTGCTGTACGTCACTTTGTTCAGACACCACTCAGAGAACTTCATCCCCTAGGACCTAGGGCAGGGGTGGGCAACCCCTGGCATTCGTGTGAAACATGGCACGCCAGTAACTTTTGCTGGCACTTGAAACCCTCTCATATGATCTTCCATTTACAATTGTGAATCTTTGTTCTCAGTGATGAATTTTGTTAAGTCTCATAATAGGAGTAGCCTGACAGATGAAAGTAGTAGCTCGTGCATATCTCTGAAGGTCACGAAATAATAAATCTGATGTAAAATCTCTGTCATCAGTGATGCAGCAGCAAAAGTCCCACTGATAATATCAAACGAGTCATACAGTTTTCTGTCAGACTATCAGTGTACATGTATACATTAAAAAATAAATGTATTTTTCATCATCATATACTGTGTTTTTGTTGCTCAAATGAATTTTATTATTTCTTCAAGGTTCTACACATATGTGTACCTTAAGAAATATCAAGTAGGCATAACATGTTCTCAAAAAATTAGGGCTGGCACGCAGAAGAATTTTGAGTCAGAGATTTTGCTGATTTTGGCACGCACTCACAAAAAATTTGCCCACCGCTGGCCTATTAAAAGGTACTGGGAGGATTTGCTGAGAAGAGACTACATTACCATGCAAATCGTTGCAATGATTTAGATAGATCAATAGTTCCCATTTTGAGAGTGCCTGAGAATCACCTTTTTAAAATATAGATTGTTGGGCTCCACCCATAGCGTTTCTTATTCAACTGGTCTGCAGCGGGAGGCCAAGAATTTGCCCTTCTAACTCATTTCCAGATGATATTGAGACTGCTGGTCCAGGACCCCACTTTGAGAGTGCCGGGAATAGATGAGTGGATTAGCCTACAGATGCCTCAGCCCCTACAGGAATTCCTCATGCATGGTCTGTTGTACATGTGGTTGTAGCGGTCATTAGCACTCAGAATCTTGCCATTGCTCATCAGCCCTCCAGAGCCTCATTTCATAACTAGAGGGCATGCTTCAGGCTGATTTTATAAGTTCGTAATCTATCCTCATTCTCCCATTTTGGGGGCACTGGGGGGATGTTTCACACTGATTCCTTTCTTCAGACAGTGTGCTG